CTCTGATAAAGTACTCTGATGAAGAAGTACTCTGATAAAGTACTCTGATGAAGAAGTACTCTGATGAAGAAGTACTCTGATGAAGAAGTACTCTGTATCAACTGGGGGAAAAAAAGGTTTGATGTTTGGAAACCCAGACTGTGATCCTGAGATTAGAGTTGTGGTCATTTCACAGCTTTACTTTTCTCAGTACAGTATTGCTGTCCTAGTAAAAAAAAAAAAAAAAACATCTGCAGGTAAAAGTATTGGCAGTGGGTGTTTAAAAAGTACACTTTATGTGGGGCCTGCAAAATACTGAGACTGCAGGGCGATCCAGAAGAGGGTCCAAATGGGCTCATCGCAAACGGTGACCCGTCACAGGTATCGCAGCTGCTCCAGGTCGATCCTCACCCACGGCGACACAATGCCCGTCAGTTTCCAGGTCCGTTAACAGAGGGTCCCCCCCGGGTCAGGTGGCCTTTGTGAGGACCCCACCCGGCTTGTCCCGCTGCTCCTAACTGCCGTCTCTGCGTGATCCCTTCCGCGTCCCACGGGACGGGGGCCTGTGCTCTGCGCTCCTCCACAGCCGACTCTCAATAGTGCAAATATATGGCGTTAAGGACTGCATATCAGGGCTCCGCCTGCCGCAGAAGGTGCCCACTGAAGCACTCAGCCCCGTGAGTCTGCCCGGCCACTCCCAGCGTGCAGGCGGACAGAGGCTCTGCTGGGCGCCCAGGGCAAGGCGCTCGAAGTCAATGGCAGACAGTGTGCGTGCGTTTGCGTGTGTGTGTGTGTGTGTGTGTGTGTGTGTGTCTTACAAAAACTCATTTTTAGAAATACAACAAAAAAAATCGTGAAGCACGCACTGGAAGATCAAAGAATATTTAACAATTCAGAATATGATGTTGTTTAAAAGAAAAAAAAAAAAAAACTCTGAAATAGTCCAAAAATGTTTGTTCTGAAAAACTGGATCTTTGGAAAGTCTGACGTCAAGTGGATCAGTTTAACCTGCAGACGCTTCGGACTCCTGAACCAAAGCTGAGATGAGGATTTTGCCCCCTCTGTACTTCTTCCCCTTACCCACACTTCTCCATCAGACTAAAACACGCTTCCACGCATGTAGGAGCACACGCATGTCCACGCTCCTCCCCCTGACAGTCATTCCATTATGGCAAGAGGGAATAAAGCAATCCTAGGGCAGACGGAGGTTGTTCTAGGTGTACAAATATGGAAGTGCAAAAAATTAAAAATGAATTAAGAACAAACTGTACAAAATACTATATTACACAGTCATGAAAACAGCAACTCCTGTAGAACTTGGAGAACATGGCTTCTTCTTGGGGCAGGGGTGGGGACCAAAAAACAAAAAGAAACTGTTGAAGCCTCCGGCCCGCGGTGACTTTCTCCTTCTTCCAGACCCGTGTTCAATCTTACAGTGCCATCTGAAGTCCGGCCCCTCCTTCGGGGGTGGGGGTGGGGGAGGCGGATGCCTCATCTCTGCTCTGCTCTTTGGCGCCTCTCGAAGAGGAGGCCACACAGCGCCATCACAAGCCGCCACCACACCGGCTGCTGATTCCTTTGGTTTCTGTGGTACTGCGACGGGAGACAGACGGAAAATCGCATTATACAGGCTGCGGGGAACAGGAATTACGCTAACAGAACATCAGCTGTCGCCGCCACCCCCCAGCCCCTAATTTGGTGTAGCGATTAAGCGACCGACCAGCTACCGGAAGACTAAGCACGTCATCGAAAAACGGCAGGGATCACATGATCCCACACAGCCGATGGCGTTTAAACGCCACCTTGTCTCAGTCGCGCGAGGGGGCCGTTTGATCCCGAGGGGGGGCGGCGCGGGGGGTAATACGTGGCAGGAGGCGTTGACAGACAGCAAAACAAACAGCGGCGGCCTCATGGGATCCTTTCTGTCATCCAGGTCGCACACAGACGGGCCCGTTCAGACATTCTCACGGAAGATCATTTTTGTTCTCTTAACTGAACAGGAAAAAGCAAAGCCGTGTGCCACTGCAGCTCAGCGATTCTCACTCTCTCGCTCTCACTCTCTCGCTCTCATGCACCTCGGTTGCCCGGACGTGTGGGGTGGGGGCAGACGGAAACTGGGAGGTCGCCTGGAGGGCATTTCTTTCTCAAGTGAGCTGGCAGGCAGAGACTCCCAGCACGCGGGCAGACCGAGGGGAGGGGACAGGCCGGGCAGCGTGCCCCCTGAGAGGAGCCGTCACCCAGATCAGAGGGTAGCTCTGTATCAGGCAGACTCAGCCCCCCCTCAACCAGCTCTGGAGCATCTCAGCGAAGCTCCTCAGGGCTCCATAAGTATGGTGGCTGATGCTGCATTACTCAGTGGGATGGCAGCCAGAGTGGGGTAATGAAATCAGGCCCGTTGAGACAGGCAGATAAGGTAATTGCACCAAATAGGATTATGCAGCTGAGCTGAGAGAGTCCAGGCTGGACCTGAATAAGATTCATGAGAGTAAAGACTCGCTTGTCTGAAGGAATATGACTCGGGGTGGGACTAGGGGGGAGTCATACCCATACTGCAGCCATGTTTATGAAGAGTCTGAGACGGGATGATAGGACGCGCTCTGTTATTCAGACGGTGTCTCCCCTAGGGCCACCATCAAAGTCCTGTGTACCCCTCCCCCCTTCAAAAGTCTTGGGATGGGGTTGATAATAAGCAAAAATTAAATGGGGCGACAAGTTGCAGTTCATTGCATAAGCCCCGCAGTGGGCTCCGGGCCCACTCCGGCCTGCACTGCCACCCCCCCCCCCCCCCCCCCCCCCCCCCCCCCCCCAACCCAGGACGAATTTGAAAAAACAAGCAGCTTTCACTTTAACTAAGGAGGCTCGTGCTGTAATGGGATAGAACATGGGGTTTTGTCAGTCAGCTAATGGACAGCCTGTATGAACGTATAACCCAATTATGCAGATTCAATCAAAATAATCTACCCACTTATGTAGGGTTGTAGTTTTGCACTGATAATTGGTCTTTTTTAACTTTTAATTAAAACACGACAGTTTCATTGTATTGCTTGTCTTGTCGTAACATGCAATTCTGACATTTGGAATAAGTTTAATAAAGAGCATGGTGATCGTCATCGCTGACACACCACAGCACATAACAAAGCAACATGTCTTTTGTGTTTAAGCCGTATGTGATATTGGTCAGCTATTTTAGCACCTGAGGAGTAGCGCTTGTGGGCGGTACCTTTCTGGTCAGGGATTAGTAAACCTGCAACCTTTCAATCACAAGTGCCCTTCCCTAACCATGAGGTCACCACTGCCGTACATAAATAACATGTAAATACATACTACATAAATTATACGTAGAGGGGACATATCAGAAAGCTTGTGGGAATGTCATTTACACAAAAATGTTCTGAGGGCAGAAGGAGAAATGATTGGTTCAGAGAGATAACCAAGTAGATAGTAGAGGAGGTGGGTCCAAGCAACTAAAGGAGATGGGACCAAGGTATCTGGTTGGTCCTGCTTCCTCTAGTTGCTTGGACATGTCTCTTCTACAGTCTGATTGGTTATCTCTCTGAACCAACCATTGTTCCTTCTGCCCTCAGAACATTTTTGTGTAAGTAAAACTCCCAAGAGCGTTCAGAAATATAAGCTGTATAAGATGAGTTTGTACTACTGTTACTATTTGTTACTATTGTGGTAAGTTATCAGTGTGAGTTCAGGATCCAGGGTTACTCTGGTACTGATGGAGGGTGCACATTCAGGCCAGAACGCTGCCATCCTCGGGTCCACGGACACTTTTGGAGTGTTTTCATGCCCCAACCCACCCAGAGCAATTATTCAAAGCCTTAACAGAGAACAGAAACCCAAGAGGTTACACTTTCTTAAAATTTTATTGAAAAAATGTACCAATTTAACAAAAAAAGAAAAAAAGATTTGTAGAGCCAAGCTCTTATGTACAGCATATTGCACTAAAAAACAAATCGCCCCCTACTTCCATACTGTTTATATTAAATGTGGAAAGGGTTAGGAGTGCACAGTACAGTCTCGAAGACACACAGTCAATGTTTACAAAAATGCTACATTTTCGCTGGGTCTCATTTCATGGGATACAGAGAGTGTGTGATCCTCAAGACGTGGGTGTGTGTGATACCGGCCGCTTTAATGACCAGTTTCATTTCCAGTCACACATTATGTGCAGCCGTGCATTATGAGTCGATTTACTCACTTAGGTTTGTGTACATTTAACACAGCACAGAAATTCCAGGAATGTTGCATTTTTGATTCAACATAGAAAAGCCCTTGATCAGAGACAGTTGGACTTCATATAAAAATTTTCATGAGACAATGGGGGAAAAAAAAAAAGTTTCTCTTAGCCTAAGCAGATGTCCTTACAAAAGTGACCTTTCCACAAGAAAATTTTGATTAAATATTTAAAAAGAGAAAAATTTATTATTATTAAAAACAGTAAACAGTAGTAAATGGTTAAGACGAATCGTTTCATAGAAATTCAAACCAAATGAAATTTTTCCGGCAAAATATTGAAGACACTGATGGTTTACACAAAGGTCCACTGCTGAGAGGTAATACCCCAGAGGGGCAGGCTATCTAGGGTTCAAAGCCCTTTCATCCCTGTATAGCCCTCCCCTCCCAACACCAAGGTCTCATTGCCACCCCTGTGTTACCAACAGAAGATCTTGTGAGGACCTTCTTGAAGATGATGGCAAGTACCAAATTCCAGTAGCAGTTAGCTAGTCCAACTAAAAAGAGAGTGAGGACAGCCCAGAAAGGTCTGGAGCACCAGAAAACTCAGGGAGTGCACAAAATATACCAATACAGTTTCATTTCCAGTGCATGATAAGATAACAGACAGCCTTTGACAACGTTTTGGTTTAAAAGAAAAGAAGAGGCTCCAACTCAAACAAAAAAACAAACTTTATGATGCTCAGCAAGCTTCTGCTGATCAGCTGCCCCAGATATCTGCTCAGATGTTGACCCTGCCTACCACCCGCTTAAACAGAGCTGGCTGTGCACATGGGTCATGGGTTCTGAGCTGAAGGCGGACGGAGCCAGAGCCGCACCGGATCCACAGGCCCGACGTTCTCCCTCGTCTTCCTGTCATCGCGGCACCCGCTGGGGCGTCCCGCTGCTAGTCGCGTCGGACAGCTGACCGCTGCGATTGGCCGGTTACAGACGTCGTCATGGCACACAGTAAAAGCGGGTCATCCTACAGACTCCCGCCTTTCGGGGACACCGTAAATGGCTCTGGCCCCACCGCTCAGCGCAAAGTCGGTAAGGGTACACTGACAGACAAATTGCACACAGAGATATCTATACAGTAGAAATGGGCAAATATACAAAAAAATAAATTAAAAGGAATAAATTACAAAAAAACTACACTAAAAAGAGAATACTGTCCTTATTTATAAAGAGAAGCAGACAATAGGCACAGTGAGGCTGATGACATAAGCTGGGTGAGAGCTGGGGGGGGGAAGGGGGGGCACCAAACACCTTAACTGGCTCAGCGTTCAGGATTTGCAGGAAACTTTCGGTGCATCTCACAGCAAAGTCACACGTGCGTGCAGTGGCGTCCGGCCTCGCTGTCAGCGAGGTCACTCGATGAGCTCATCCAGCCCGGCACACCCTCCTCCACACCAGCCAGGAGCCATGTGGCTCCAGGGTTTTGCATAAAGCCAACGAGCAGAATCAATAGAAAGCCAGACTAAAGACAGGCCCTACAGTACAGAGAGGCGTCATTTTACAGTCCGAAGTCAAGTCGAGCGTCACTGTGCTGCTCCCTGAAAAAGCAGTAGGACCGTAGTGGAAGGAACCGAAGAGACATCAAAGGCAACAGAAACACATCAGTGTCTTCGGACATTTTGATATATCCATTTAACAAATGATTACAGTCTCTATTTATCTCCTGTCCATCCTCTTTAAAAAAAAAAAAAAAAAAAACTCTACTTCCCCCCCATTTGTCCTATACAAAATCTAAAGTAGAAAAGTAGTGGTCATTTTTATTAAAACACCACACTACCAAGTACTCCGATGAAGTACTCTGATAAAGTACTCTGATGAAGAAGTACTCTGAT